ATATATTATATTTAATAAAACTGAACTAGAGACTAATTTTTTTCTTTAATGAACGTGTTAGTTGCCTTTTTATAAGAAAAACTAAAAATTTGACTCTATTTTACTGGTGGCCATTTAATAAAGATGACAACGAGGCTCGGCCGAACACGAACAACATGAGCCTTGAAAACGCGTCAGCACCGCACCACAACGAAGCTATCCGCTCAGCCAAACCAAGAATAGTCCGTCTTCCGTCCCTCGCCGCGTGTTCAAATGGCCCTCTCGCGTGCGATGTGCGTGGCGGTCACCCGCCCATCGCTACCGTCTCCTAGGTTCCGCGTCCGGGCATCCGCCGGAGGACGATCGCCGGCGAATCAATTTCCACCACTCGCGGCTTTCTTCCGCCGCCGGCTCCTCTCCGGCACGATGGCAGCCTCGCTGATTGCAGTGGGCGCCAACTTCGGCGGCCTGACCAGCTTCCTGCTTGGGTTATTGCCGGAGGCCGCCCGGGAGCTTCGTCTTGACGTTCTTTATCCTGTTCAAGGCTTCACCCGTTGCTACGATCCCGATCAAGGGTTTGGTGAGTTCCATCGCTTTGCCTTTGCCCCAAGTAAATGCAATGTATGAGTGCGTGAAGGATTGGAGCGTGTTATTAAAAAAAAGAAATGCATTTTGGATTTAATTTCTCTAAACTGCCAGATTGTATTTGGATGGTAGGATTTCAAGAAATACTGATAGGATTTCATTTGATTTCCTCACTCTCTCTTCAATTTAAACAAAAGCTTATAGTTGGATTGCATTGTTTTGTTTTGACAACTTCTTGTGAACTTACTCACTGATTTATCTATGGAGACCTTCAATGGCAGTCGATTTACTTCATAGACAATGTTAAAAGCTTCATTAAACAACAACTGCTAACCAGTGGCGAAGCCAGAATTTCAAGTAGGGTGGGGGTGAGAGAGGAAACTAAAAATCAATTAAAATATACTATAATGACAATTTTATCTATTTTAAAACAAATTAATAAAATAAATAAAATGAAATGAAAAAAATTATTGATAATAACTTATTGAATAAACTAAAATATCTTATAATCTAGTTGTTATGAATAGATATCTTGAATTGTGTCTAACACTTCTTCATGACATTAAAATCATTGATCATTTATTCTATATTGAAATCCGTTATAACATCATTTTTTTTTTGGTTAAAAATACGCATTTAGTTATTTATGTCGAAATAAACAATGTTAAAATCAATCTAATTAAATGATCAATGAGATGATATATAACTGATTTTCTTATCTCAGCCAATATTTGATATAAATTAGAAGTTTTTGAGAGATTCTAAATGATTTATTTCTGATGAGTTTCAATTTTAAAGTACTCTAATTGAATTTTAAAGTGAAGCTTTTCTGTATCTATGAAGTCTTTATGATATAATTTATTTGCATGTTGATAGATATCATCAAATTTGATCGATTGATATACATCTCGAGGATCTAATGTAGAAGTGAAAATTTAATATTTTTATAATTTTTTTTAAAATCTGTTGTTCATCTCTTGCAGTTATGTGTCTAAGTTGCCCCCCTTAGCCCCACTCTGGTTCCACCACTGGAGCTAACTGTAACTGTGGCCTGGAGGTTTCTGCATGATTAAACAATTGCTGCTATTGATTGTACTTTTGTGTTCTAGGTTTTAGAAGCTGATTAATTTGTTCAGATGAACCTTCATCATTCATTGATTCTTTTGAAAGGATGATACTGCTACCTATGGACCACGTCCTACCAAGTTATTACCCTGCATAATATAAGAATGCATAATTGCTAAGAATCACTCTTTTGTCGATGGACATTAGATTGTGGAGTGAAGTGAGTATAAGAAATCAATCATTTACAATTTTTTTATTGTTGTTATCTATCTTAATACTTACCAGCTAGAAAGGATTTTAATATGCTTGAATATAATAAAGGTTTTTAGCATCTTCTCAACATGATTTGGTTGTCGTAATTTGTGTTATTGTCTCCAAATCACATGTCACTGATAAACTTTTTTTATTTTTTTCTATTTCTTGCAGAGTTCATATTCCCAGCAGAATGGGTTGGCGACCAGTCAGTGTTGAATAGAGCTGCAGATATTGCTGAATCTCAAAGATCCATAGAACCTCCAGCACTAGGTGGTGGAAGACCGACTTCACGGATATTTCGTGGCCCGAATGAACCAGCTGTTGCATTTGCACTACCAGGGTCCTCTGGGGAGCTCAATGTCAGCGTCATCATTTCCCCAGTACCTCGTGATTTCTCGTATGTTTTAACAGTTCTATTTTATATACCCAATCAAATTGTGCAATGCACTTGTCAGCATAGCATGAAATTAGTGTAATTCATCATGGCACCTAATTTACAATTAAATTTTGTTCTAGAATTGAGGCATTTGGCAGCCCTAAGATGGTGGGGGAATCTGTGCTCAGGAAGATAGCTGCATCAAGACGTGGAGCAGATGTGCGAGCATCCCTTCTAGATGCAACCCTTAGGCAGGATCCGTCTATGAAAGTGAACTACTACAAATTGGAGTTTTCAGTTGAAAGTACATCATTCCGACGCCATAATGTTGCAGTTTGCACCGCACGCAGTGGAAAGCTCTTCACTCTTAATGCTCAGGTACCTGAATCATCATGGCCAACTGTCAGAGAGGAGTTGTATAAGATAGCAGATTCTTTCAATCTCACAGAGGCATGAACTATTCTATTCAATTTTCCTGTCAACGGTTGTGCAAGAAAAATAGAATAGAATCGATTAGTATTCAACCAAGCCGATCCATTCTTTTGAAGAAAAATAGAATAGTAAAATCTTTCTAATGTATATCATTCCTGAAAATTTTGGCACCCACTCTGTGAGAGAATGTTTTGATGTTTTGTATGTAGATCATCATGTAACATAGCAACACATCCTGAACATTACTGGATTGTGATTTAGATAAATATTAAGAGCGCAGTAGCATATACTATTTGTCATATCTTATCTTCGGCAAGCAAGGATATGAACGGGATGATTCTCTCAAACTGAGTTGCGTTAGTTCTCAGCCTCTGCTCAACTTTTTGGATCTCCAACTTCCTTCTAGTCAACCTCCAATCCAATTTTCACAGCCTTGCTTGTTACCATATGACATGTGAACAAAGTTGTGAAGCATGCTAATTGTTTCCTGCCGACCCATTCTTTCGAAGTGGGTTAGTTGATAGAATTGATCTTTGAGATCTTACACCATTCTTCACTATCCTAATATATCATAAGGTTATCTCATTCAATATCATGCACATTGAGAAACAAAACTCTTTAGTATCGCCAATTTAGTTTGTATTAGGCTTCTTTAGGCCTCGTTGCATGTTGAATGCTTTAATGGTCTTCTCCCATGCCTTTCTTATCATGATGATATCTTAGGAGAAGAAATTTTGAAATAAGAAGGAAATATAATGAATTTTGAAGAGTGAAAACATTTTATTTTGATATTTGATGATTGAATTATTCATTCAAGTGAAATAAATAAATTTACGTGAAAATATTCCGATAGCCTTGAGAATTGGAGCAACATATGCTATTAGCATATGTTGAAAAATGGCTTGTAAAAAATTCTTGACTTCCTTACCAGTGGCCCTTTTAATTGTATTGTACATTAAAAAGATGTCTATACCAATCTTAAAGAAATTTAACGGTATAGAATAGAAGAGGATGATAGAGGCAGAACCATTGCCAAGAGAACGTGAGGCCTCCTTGACTGAACGGCTAAGTCATGCGAGCCAAGCCAACTAGTGGAAACCGACCAAGCCACAAGAAGGACAAGAAGACAATTAGATATTCGAGCACAAATCATCCTACTAGGAACAAGACAAGAGAGCATTCGAGTTGTCCACTACAAGAAAGTCAGCTCGACCCTGAGCCAATCCAAAGAAAGATTCAGTTCTACAAAGTACCTTCGACCTTTCGGTGGAGACCCTAATGACTTTTCACTAGGGATGGAAGATAGTCAATCATGCTAGATCCACCGTCTGAGCTGACCTTGTCGAGCTGAAGCCAACAAAGCTTAGCCAACAGAGGTAGAAATCAGCCGACAATTAGCCCACATTTGTAAAATACCATAAACACCTTAGTACAAACCTCTTCCAAACGAGGGTAAAAATATTATATCACTATTGTACCATCTCCTATATAAATATGAGAATCATTTTATGAAGTTGACACAATTTTTCATTGTTCATTATTGTTAATCTCTCTCTCTCTCTCTCCCCCCTCATTTACACTATTCATTGAGTGTGATTCACAGACATTTTCGAATTCAACATCTTGAGCTGTAGTGAGTATGGATCATATCACCAATAAAAAGAGGAGTCATGCAAGGAAAAATACCTCAAAATAGAGTGTCTGATGATAACTTGGGGTGCACCAAAGATTTGTCGTCCAACAAATCCATGATGTGAAGGATAAGATGTTAGAAATGATCAGAGGTGCGTTGAATTAGGAGCATGATCAAATATCTCGATAGGATGTTCCGACATCTAACAACTAAAGTCCCTCTACCTTAGAAAGAGAGGATGAAATTCAGTATCTTGATAGTGTTGGGTCGGCACTGATTGATAGGTATTGGGTCGGGTGTATTGACAAGTCACATTAGTAAGAGATTGCATTCTCTCGGTAGATCTCTGATGCCAAGCTACCGAAATAACTCAAGATTGACACTTAAATCTTATGAGGGATAGATAGACTCGGCTGATCACATCACATTTTTCGAGTCGACAATATGTTTTCTCAAGTTCTGTGCCTTTGTCACTCATTTCCATAAGGAAATTTTAGAGGTTTGTGATTTGGAACCCACGGTAGCTCATGCGGCCCTCACACGGTGATTAAATGAAGAACTTTTTTTTTACGCCCTAGAATTACATCAATCTAAGACTCTCGATGAGTTGTTGGAGCTAGCTAACAATCACATATCAATAATAGAGTATAATCAAGAGGATGAAACCTAATATCTTGATAGTGTTTTGTTGGCATCGATCGATAGGCACCGGGTTGGGTGTACTGATGCATTTTAGTGGCAGATTTCCAATGTCGTGTCTATGACACTTGAATCTTACGAGGGACAGATAGACTCGAGTGATCACATCGCTTCCTTCAAGTTGACGGTATGTCTGCTCAAGTTCAATGACGCATTAAAATGCCAACTCTTCTACAACACGCTGAGGGACCCAACTTTCTGCTGGTTCAACGGACTACCGAGAAGTGATCATGTTATTTTTAGACTTCAAGTGAATAATCATTGCACAAATTGTTAGAGCAAAAAAATTACATTAGAGCTCGCAGGCTTTCCTCCAGCTTTGCCAGAGATAAGGCGACACCCTTTGTGCCTTCGTCTCTCATTTTCATAAATAAATGTTAGAGATTTGGGATTTGGAACTCACGGTCGCTCATGCAACCCTCATACAACGATAAATTTTTTTTATTAAAATTTTGAGCATTTCTTTCTCAAATAGACTTGGATATACAAGAGTATATATTTTTAAAATATTATACTGTGATATTAAATTATCTTTCTCATGTAAATAATTTTTTTATTTATAATAAAAAATATTTTTTAAAAAAATACATCAAAACTATATTTCATATTACTTTTATTTTTTAAATAAAATTATTATTTAAACATTTATTAATGATTATTATATTTTATTTAAATAAACCACAAAATTAATGTGTTTTTATCAAAATAATTAAATAAAAATATAAAATCTTGGCTGGTAGCCTATCAATCTCCCAAGTAGGGCTGTAAATGAGTCGAGCGTGAGCGAGCTCAACCTTGACTCGTGTTCGGCTCGTTTGAAATTGGCTCGTGTTTGAAATTGACTCGTATTCGAAATGACTGGTGAAAAATTTGTTCGTATTTGGCTCAAAAAATTTATTCATGTTCGTGTTCAGCTCGAAAATAACTCGTTAGAATATAAAATTATTATAATAATTA